ACTGCAATTAGTCATCACGTCTCCTTAGTGCCTTTTGTGAGTTTCTAGCTTTCCTTGCTTTTCACGACCTTGAGGGTTTTAAAGAGTACTGGTCAGGTATTTTGTACACTGTCCCTCAACTTAGGTTTATCTGATGTTTTTCTCATAATTAGACTGGGGTTATAGGTTTGAGATGACCAGAGGTGAAGCGCCCTTCTCATCACATCAGATTACATTAGGTAGCACATGGTACCCACAGAATTTATCACTGGTGATGATAACCCCGAGTACTTAGATCATGTGGTGTCTGCCAGGTTTTTCCACTGAAAGTTCTTCTCCCCTTTCTAAACTCTGTTCTTTAGAAGCGAGTTACTATTTTAGCCCCTACTCAGTGAGGAGGGAGGATATGGTCCGCCTCCTAGAGGAGGCAAGATCTACAGATGTTATTTACAACTCATCTATAAGGAAGATTCGTCTCTTCTTTCCATTTATTATTCACTTATCAGTATGGACTTATATTTCTTTTATACTTTGGGTTATAACCCAATACTACGTTATATATTTTGTCGCTGAAATTGTCCCAGTTTGGTCACTGGGAGCTCTTTCAGATTGGCTCCTGTGTCCCTTAGACATGCTCCATCCTTTTTTGTCCCTCTCAGTATCTTAGATTTTGATGTAGTATTTGGTTTCATTCCCCACCTATCCACTGAGGTTGCTCTAAGATCCTTGAGATTACAATGGTTTCTAGATTGTCAGGCTAAAGTCTACTTTTCTGTTTTTAATTTACCAGACCTATAACAATACTGTTAACCAGACCTTTCGGTGACAATACTATTAAACTCTTACCTTCGAATTCCATTTCATTTTCTAAAACTTTGCTATGGAATTTTCAAACTTAAAGCTAGAGAAAAAAGCATATTGAAACTCTATGTATCCTTCTCCCAGCTTCGACAATTCTCAATATTTTGCTGATCTTGTTTCAACTGTCACCTTTCTCATGCTCTGCCACTGGAAGACTTTAAAGTAGCGTTCCTCAACCTTTTTGGCACAGGGACCGGTGCTCCTATGAGAATCTAATGCCTGATGATCTGAGGTGGAGCTGAGGCGGTGATGCCAGCGCTGGGGAACGGCTGCAAATACAGATGAAGCTTCGCTGGCTAGCCTGATGCTCACCTCCTGCTGTGCGGCCTGGTTCCTAACAGGCCACGGACAGGTACCAGTCCGTGCGGCCTGGGGGTTGAGGACCCCTGCTGGACATCCAAGACAGCATGAGTTCAACTCTAAGAGTTCAGTGTCTTTAACAGATAAGAACTTTTTAAAAAACACAACACAAAACAGCTATTATACTTAACAAATCTAATAATTCTTCAATATCCTCTAATACTCAGTCCATATTCAAATTCCCAATTTTAATAATTAACTTGTTCACATTCGGACACATACAAAGTCTACACATTACAGCTCAGAAAAGTCCCTCCTCTCTGCCATCACCTCTTCTCCCACACACTTTTTAAAAGTCCATTTGTTGAAAAAACTGCGTTTTCTGTCCTATGAAATTTCCCTCATTCTAGATTTGGCTGATTCTATCTTCAGTGTTTTAACATGTTAGTCTGCTTCCTGAACTTCCTGTAAATTGGTACTTAATTAGATTCTGTTACATACATATATATTACATATTATATATATTTATCTAATGTTAAATGTTTACATATATATTATATACATATTTATATATATATAAAGTTATATAAAAATATTTGCAATATATTTGCGATATATGGATCTCAGTATCTATCTATATCAATATATACATATTTGCAAAAATATTTCACTGCTGGTGAAGTCAACTTCCTAATGCAGAAATAGAAGGCATAGTAGAAGCTATACTGTCTGGTTGTCTCACTTACCATTTTCCCTTTTGAGACATCTCTGGCTCCTGCATCTCTTCCTCTTTGTCTTTGCCATTTTCTTCTTGGTTCCCCTCAGACTCCTCTTCACCTGTGTTTTGAAGTCATTGTTCTTCAGGGCCCAGTGTCACGGGTCCATTTTCCCTAGTCTATAAATGGTCCCTTTTCCCACATTCCTAAGGCTACAAACATTAAAGTCTGTATTTTTGATGCAGACCCTCTCCACAAAGTTGCAAACCCAAATCTCCAGCAACTTACAGGATGCCACTAGACGTCCTATGAGCTTTGCAAACTCACTGTGTCCCAAATACAATTAATTATCCTTCTTCCCAAACAGGTTTCTCATTGTTTTCTTTACCTCAATGACCAGAACCACCATCCAAGACAGAATCCTGAGCCATCCTAGATTTTTCCTCACCTGTCCCAAATCGCCAAGCCACAAAATGTCTATTTCCTCGACATCCTAAGTGTGTCCCCTCTCCTTGCTGCTACAGCCTCAGTTCTAAAATTCAGATGAAGAGTGTGAATGCATTATCCAGAGTCACACACTACTGAACTGAGCTAGGACTAAAACCTAACCCCAAGCTCCGGCATGGAGCACACTGGAATCCTGCGGGCTGTGACAGGCTTGATTCTTCGCTGTGCTTTGCATACTTCGTGTTTTACGTATATTGTCAGTATGGTTGTAGAGGCTGAATTTGGCAGGACGAAGCAGCTAAATGTGGGGCGTTTAGGAGTCAGAATATCCGGGTTTGACACTCCCTCTCATCACGGAAAGAGAACAATAGTTGGTTAATTTCTCTGTGCTTTGGTTTCCTCCTCTACAAAATTGGATTAAAATTTGTACGCCCCTTTTCTGAAATCCCCAAAGCTCTGAAAACTGGGGGTTGTTGTTTTTATTTTGTTTAAAATAATTTGTTTGGCAGCCAAACCTGACTTGCCTCTAAGGATTTGATGACAAAACCTGCCCTGCACGGAATTAAAAGTACAACATCTGAATTCCGAAACACACCTGACCTAAGTGTTTTGGAAAACAGGTTGTGTCCCCATAATAGTTACTTCATAGGTCTGTCATGGGTTGATTGCTAAAGAAATTAATATTTGTAAAGCTACTAGAGCAGTATATGGCCCATAGTAGTCCCTATATAAATGTTTGATAAATTAATGTTTCATGTTAACAGTTAACCCTAGAAATGAAGTGAAAAATATACTATTTTACGTCAGAATGAAGATTGATGAATGTGGGGGTCTCTATCAAAGCTGGGTTCCTACCATAGCTTTTCTGTTATAAAGAAATTAAACATCAGAGACAGAAAAACCCCTTATGAGTGGCACTCGCATCTCTCCCTGCTCAGAACTAATCATTATTCTGAAGCTGGTGTGTGTGTGTCATTTGCATGCAAGTTTCTCGATTTTATGTATGCATCCATGGTATGTATTTTTTAAGAACTACACGATCTGGTCCCAAATGTCAATAGTGCTGAGGCCGAGAAGCCCCACCCTCATCTCTCTCTCTCAAGCTCCCGTAGCTCCTGTGCGAGCCTCTGGCGGTGCATGTATTGCAATTATCATCACTGCACACCTGCCTGCCTCTCCTCCTAGAATGCCAGGTCCCTGGGGGCAGAAACTATGATTTAGCTAAGTGGAATGGAAAGGAGTCAAAAATTTGCTGAATAAATGAACAAATCAGAGGTCCCTCATATCACAAATTATCCATGAGCCATCTGGGAGGAAGGACAGGGGAATGAGATGTGAGAAGCCAGAGCATCATCTAAAGAGCTGACAGGGCAAGATTTCTCCATATTTGGAAGAAGTTTCGTACCTAGGATTTTCACTGGCTCTGTGGCAATTTGTAAAGACAGGGAATAAACATCAACACGTATTGAATATTTCTCGTGTGGCCGGCACTGTGTTTTATAGGCACTGACTCAGTGTGGCCCTCGCAAGGACTTCATGCGGGGGAATCACTAATACCACGTCAAGAGCAGGGAACACAGAAGCAACTGAGAGGTGAAAGTTAACTCCCACGGTCTGCAGTCACAGAGCCAGCAGGAGTGGGACCGGCATGGTGGTTTCTTTGGGGAAAGGTAAGAGAGCTTTTTGTAAAAGAGAAACACTTCACTCTAAGAAGCTGATGCAATTAGAGGCTTTAGTTTGTATTTGTGCCTGAGTCACATCTATTCTCTATTTAGGCATATGAGTTTAAAATTAAAAAAGAGCACTACTAAAGATTTGAAAGTTTAGTCACGTGTCACCTCAGGGGAAGTCAATTCTGATTTTTGTCTGCAATACCCAAGCACAAATTGCAACTCCAGTAATAAAACGAGAGCTGGGAAAAATAAGCACCCGGGGCTCACGAAAGGAATGCATTTATCACAGGGCAGGAGCTGCAATGTGGAGCTCAGTGTTCTTAGGGAGAAACATGTCAATATTAAATCTTTTCACCAACCTCTGATGGATGTGCTAATCTTCTCAGGGCAACAAGGCTCACCCTGGCAACGCACTGTAATAACTTATTTAAAAGGCAGCTGGCTTTTTTAAATGGACGATTCCATCAATTCTTAGATTTTCATTCTCAGAAACGTATTCTCTTATCAAAACGCTATTCGCTATACAAAGTATGAGTTCGATTGTACCCTTTCTACAAGAGGAGACTGCAGAGGTGAGCAGGTTTGGGAATTACTGTTCTTTGCTCTCAGATCTGCCTGACGTTCAAGGCCTGTAGGGTTACCGAGATAACGCGAAGGTCAGACAGGTATTTTCATTCCGTTAGAGCGGGGGTCAACAAGGCCCATAGGCCGCATCTGGCCCAGGACCTGGTTTTATAAAGTCTTACTGGAACACGGTCACGCCCATCTGTTTACTTACCGTCTCCAGCTGCTTTCACGATGCAAGGGTGGAACTGAGGAGTCGTGACACAGTGTGGCCTGCAAAGCTGAAAAATATGACCTCTGACCCTCTACGGCACGTGGGAGAGAAGTGGCATTCGCCTCGCCATGTGCCTGGGTCATTCTCGGAGCGGGCTGAGGGAGTTGGAGTGGGAGAGCGCATCCGACTCATTTATGGCGTCTGCCTCATTCAGTGGGGTTACACATAGAGGAAAAGACAAACGACTAAATGGGATCCGTGAGAACTTTAATGACCTGAATGCCGCGGTTAATGTAAAAAGCAGTGTCGTACATGAGATGATCATTTTATGTTAAATCTCTCATGTTGGTGACTGCACGCGCTTGCCGCTTCAAAGTGGCTGACCTATGACATCCACCCCCAGTGATGGGCCCCTCGGACTTTGGTGAACATGGCTGATTTCTCAGCGTAAAGAGTCCCCTTTTCCCGAGAAAACGCACAGGAGGAAATGGAAGAGAGCGAATCCCAAAGGGAGGGAGTGATGGCTGGGGACCCGGGGCTCAGAACTTCAGCGGAATGACCGGCCAGTATTTGGGCCGCTTTCGGTCACAGTACTTGTCAAAGCTCAGCTGCACGGCGGCCTCCATGGCCTGGATCTTGGCGGCGCTGTCCCCGTACAAGCGCTTCATCTCGGCCTGGCGCCGCTCGCCGGGCCGCTCAGAGGGGGGCTCCACGGAGCGGCGGGTGCTGTAGTACAGGTCGTGGTCGGCGTTCACGTAGTCCTCCAGGCGCGCCTCGTCCAGCTGCTGCTGCCGCCCTGAGAACGAGCCAACAATGGTGAACCGGGGTGACATCCATGCTGCCCGATGTGCCACGGGCGGTCCCCACATCCCACAGCTTTCCCTTTCGGACTGTGAGCTGGGCCCGGCCATGGCAGCTGAGCTGCTCACTAGATTCTAAGGCCTGGCCCGCATGTTCTTATCCGCTTAGTTAGGAAGCTCATCGCTCACTTATTTAGGTTATACACCGATACAAATGGCAAAAAGCCACGAGGAAACATGTCACCCCCCAACCATCCAACCTCTGGAAGGAGCCCTGAAGATTCGGGAGAAAATGACACCAGCTGACTTCCTCCCTTCCTCTGCCCAGCGAGGAATGGCCCATGGTGCTCACTCGGATTTAAACACAGCACCAGGCCCGCAGGAAAACACAACGCCTGCTGGAAAGGCCGGTGTTGCAGGAGGCAGGACCTCCCAGCACAAACAAGGTGCTGGGGGACGAACTCAGCCCTTTGGGAAGAGCTGTTGATTTGAGATAATCTGGAAAAGAGCAAGCACTGGTGACCGGGGAATGGCCGCGACAGTGAGTGACCCTTCCACACATCCAAAACACAACCCACACCGAGCGAGTCCACCCTTGCCGAAGGTTAAAGGGCTGAGCAAGGGCAAGGCTGCAAACGGACGCGAAACCTCTGACGTCTGATCTTCCCGCTCCATTAACAAAGCTGAACCGTGTGTCGGAATGTGACTTTCCCGTCACTCCGCAGGTCACCTTAGGCTCGGTTCCAGGTGCTATCGTTACATGCTTTCAGTCCTGCTCATTTAAACGGGTTCTTGTAAAGCAAGAAATATTGATTCAATTTATTCTCTCCTATTGTTTTTATTATAAAAGTACTGAAATAATTTTTGTTCTTATGTAAATAAGAAACGAAATATTGACAATGCTGAAGAACGTAAAATTTAGCCTACCTAGATTTTTATAACCCACTGTTAAGAACAAGAGAAACCGATAGTAAAATGCACACATCTGTAGCTACTATTGCTACCAAGAGAGACGTTACTAAGGAGTGAAGATAGTTGTAGGGGATAAAACGAGGATATAAATCTTTGTTTCCTTCTTAAAAAAAAAAAATAGTAGTAGAAAGCAAGCTTAGTATGGAGGGGACCACAAAAGTGAGCAAATCAAGTGTGAACAGAAAGATATTTATGTGGCTATGCATAGTCACGCTCATAAATCCTGTTCTTCATTAAGTTAACACCTTGGAGCTGGAGGAAGGACTTTTATAAACTTGGAAACATTATTAAAAATGTATCTGGCCATTTCTGTCTTGGCACATCTGCAGTTCATTTTCACATAAGGAAGCAATATACGGATATGCCAAATGGCTGTCAAAATAATGCCATGTAACTGTTACCTTATCCATGGAAAAGATAGAATTGACTTACTGTGAAACGCAGACCTAAAGCAAAATATTGACCTCATATGCAAATGAATGGGAGGTCAACAAGCATTTGTTTCTCATTTTTGGTCTTTCTGCCAAGTCTGGAACACAAGGATGTAAGGTGTTTAGTCCTCATGGGTGTTTAAATTCTACTGTCCCCTCCCCCTGCCGCGCCCTCCAAAGAATACTCTTCTGAAGGCTTGGCATTTCCGCATTAGCCAGGGATGACACAGTCCCACCCATGACATCACCAGTCCCGGGGCTCTCCTTTTGTTGTTGGCCCAGAGGACATGGTCCCACGTGCGGGGGCTGCTGGGGCCTCAGAGTGTCCGCATGTCGAGGGCAGAGGTTCCCAGATCATGGTCCTTTCACTCTCAAATTTGTCCTAAGGTTATCATCAGCTTTTCCAACAGATTCAGTGACATAATCGATGTTAAACTTCCTGTCTAAATCTGAGTCTCTGAGTTTAGAAGTTTTAATAAACACGGGAATCTGTTGTTGTCTACCATTTGGATATATGAATGTAACCTTTTTACTCTCGCATCTTTATTTTTCTTTTCCTTATAATTTAACGTGGTTATAATTATACGTCTTGCTGCTACCCTTCTGACAAAAACTATCTTACAGATATTAAATTGGTCTCCTAATTGTACACCAGGAGACATTTTCTCTTACTGTTGACATCTGTGGATGACACACTCTGTTAATACAAAGCAACCCCAGCTGGCCATCCACGAAGCCTATGCCATTTTCCAAGTTCGCGCTCGCTGTGTGCTCATGGGCTACCATCACTGGGTTTTAGATGTTAACAAAGTTCCCACACTGTAAGAATAAAAGACACAGCCCTCTGCTCACTTCTCTAGTTCTGTCTCTTTCCCCATCCGGTCTTCCTCATGAAAATTTAAGGCCCAACCCTGTCCCCTCCCTGCCTGGCAAAAGGTTAGGTGGTTTCCCAGTTTCCTACATGGTGGGTAGTTGTTCAAAACAGATTTAAGGGGCAGGAAGCCTGTCCCCTGCACTGAAAGACCACCTAGTGCAAGGACAGGCCTGCAAGAGTCTTCGTGGAGCTCTGTCGCCTTTATTCACCCCAGCCCCAGCCCCACCCCCAGGAGGACACCGTGCCTGACACAAAGCGGGTGCTTTGGAAATGACTGTTGAAAGCTCAAAGGCCATACATTACTTTTTGTAAACAACTGTTTCTTCCAGATGCTGTTAAAAGAAAAATGAAAACAACCCAGGGATAAAGAAACAGATGCTACGACCACAAGACGTACTGGGCAGAGGCTCCCTTCAGGAGAGTCCTGAGCGCCTCCATGGCGGACGGGCTGGGGGCGAAGGGAGGGGAGCGCTCCGATGAGTTGGGGTCTGATCTTGTACCCTCACATTGCAGTCACTTCACCTGCACTTACTCACACAATTAAAAGAAGAGAAAACAAAATAAAACAACATTCTAAGGCTAGACTGCAGATTTGAAAACCAGTCGGCTTAAAAGCAAATACCTTCAGCCTGGCTGTACACTGACCTAGGGGACCGAGCAAGCCTGAGGGTGGAACGTACTCAATTGAAGGCATCCACTTACTTACTCTTCCTTCCTCCCACTGAAGGGAAGAATTCTCAGTCACTGGCAGTTTTTCACCCTGTCAAACAAGGTGAGGGCTCATCCAACTAGACGGAGATTCAGCTGAACGAAGCAGAGGGGATCATGCTTCAGACATCACTGAACAGGTGCCTTGTCGTGAGGGGTTGGTCATTTTTACTGAAAACAGCTGTGCGACTCGATGTGACCAAGTGCTTTTTTCTGGTAGGATATTTGGTCATGGGAATTTGTTTTAATACAAACCAGAATATCTTCTTAGATTCCAGCTCTAAAATAGGGTTGGAGTGGGTTGGGTTCACATCTACTCGGAACCTCAGAATGTGACTTTTTTTTTTTTTTGGAAATAGGGTCTTTGCAGGTGTCATTAAGGGAAGGATCTGATGAGACCATAACGGATTAGGGTGAACCTTAAATCCAATGACAGCTATCCTCATGTGAGACAGGGAAGGACACGTAGAGACATAGAGAGAAACCATGTAAACCTGCAGGCAGAGATTGGAGCTACGCTGCCACAAGCCAGCAAACGCCAGGAGCCAGCCGACACTGGAAGCAGCAAGGCCCTAGAGCCTCTGGAGGAAGCACGGTCCTGCCAACACGTTGGTTTTGCACTTCCAGCCCCCAGAATCACGTTCTGTTGTTCTAAGCCACGCGGTTTATGGTAATTTGTTATAGCAGTCTTAGGAAACTGACATACGGGTTAATATGCATATAGGGTTAAAACGAGAAAACCAGTATTATACTACTAAGGAGACACGCTACTGGATTCCACCTGGGTTCAGGATACACAACCTCGATATTTTTTGGCTCAGTCTATACATTTACATGATGTTGTCAATATAGACTTATAGGCCATAAAGGAAAAAAAAAATCATGGGGAGTGACTTGGACTTTAGAGAACTTGACATAGTGGGAAAATCTGCTTTCAGTCTTCCACGGAGTTAGAACAAAGGCAGAGACATTTTGGAAGACAAAGTACTAAGATGAATGAGTGTTGAAGAATGTTATTCTTCCTGATTTTTCTAGGATTAGCATGTCTTTCTGATTATATTCTCTGCTACGTTGACAGAATTAACAATCTCAGCACAACCAAGTGAAAGCGCAGACGATTTATATCAGAAATGCCTCATTTCTGGCTAGCCAGCAACATACCCAGCACACAGGCGCAGACCTGGGGCCATGGCTGATAGGTCTTCCATTGTCACCCCACATCCCTCACTCCATGACAAATGTAATCTCCAAGTCAGTGGGCAGTCACCATTTCCATGTTTAGAATAAAAGCACATTTCCTTCCCTTCCTTCCACGTTTCCACCGCCTTTTACGGACTGGTTTTATATGTGTCTGAACATCTGGACTATTCAAAACACACAGAGAGTGGAACTGGGCTCAATCAGTAGGATTCCACGCTTGAATCTCACTGACTACACCAAAATGACTCAATAAACACTGGGCTGTAACTTTCACTATATCCTCTAGGCTTTCCACAGAGGGTGACCTGAGGGAGAACGAGCTGGGGTTCCAGTAGGCTGACAGCGTCTAACCTTCTGTAGACACGACACAATTGAGCACGTCTTCCATCGAGTGTACAAAAACGCCTTTGGTAAGAACAGGGCTTCGAGGGCTACGCGGGGGTGGACTTAGCCCTTTCTTTCTCTCTCATTCCTGAGTTCACTGGCTAAAGTAACCACGGACCACACCATAGATGGCTCATCTAGGTATCGTTTTAAATTTGATTTGCTCTCCTGTCCCCACCTGGGTTTGCTCTTTGTAAATAGGCCCGTTTTGACCCAACATCTACCCCCCAAACACAGGTGGTAAACACCTGAGTGGCCCAAGGCCGTGACAATGGTGACAGTGTTTGTTTCGGAGGGCCTTCTTCTCGTTTGAGAATGATGACTCGCGCTCATTTTCCCTGTATTAGGGGCTGTAATCTTGCAGTCTTAGTCGATGGTTATTTATGCCTTAAAACGGATACTTTTCTTAACCTAACGATAAACATTTTTCCTAAGAAGTAATTGAAAACACAGCTGACCTTTTAAACTTCACAACTGTCTACTTTCCCATAAGCAATGTCACTACGGAAGTTTTAAATAACGGAAATATTTCATTAGGAAGTGATGACATATAACATAATTGAAGCCATGCCTGTTCCCATGGCACAAAAGGAATTTTTCGCCCTCAATTTTTTTTTTAATCATTGAAAAATGTTAAATTGGAGATTATCTGGAAGAGTAGTAATCACAAGCAAGAACATGCTGTCTGGTCTGAAGGATTTTATCTTAAGAAAATAGTCCATAAGACTCAGATGATGATGAACTGTGTGTATAACATGTTTCTGCAGAAGTGCATAATACTAAAAAGCTAAATCTTTCAACTTTAGCTACGTTTTCCGTTGCTAGTAATATTTCATAAAACTCTGTGTTCCCTACATGGTTCATATTCAAAGTACAATCTGCCCTTATTGAAGAAGTACCTTCTAGTGGTTCAAAGAGCAAAACAAAACAGCTTTGACCAAGTATTCACACAGCTCAGGTCCCTTACCTCCTTGTTAAACATTTCCCAGCTGTGTATGCATCTAAACCTCCACAGACATTTCCGTAAAGGTAACCGACCAGAAAGCACCCTGGGTATTCAAATTACTTACATCTGAATTCCAGCATTCACTGCTGCTCAGAGGAATACGTAGTTATCCTACCCACCACCAAAAGTGGCGAAAAAAAATGCTGGGGAGCCGTCTGTTCCCCATTATTTTGTTACTGGTGGTGTAGGGTCGGGCCCTGGCGGCGTCTTCTAATAGAGTAAGGCTCTGGCACCACGGCCTGTTCTCACCCTCACCAGACAATTCTCACATCCCCAGGGACCTCATAACGCTTTCAGGCCAGACTGTGGGACACAAAAGCATGGCGGAGAGGCTGGGACAAGTAGTTTTGAACTTTGCTACAACTGCACATTCTAAAACGCACAAAGAAGCGGAAGCCTGATGAGCTCAGTGCCGTTATTAGTAATGTGGAAGTGGGTTCGGCTTTCCAGCCCAAGTATTTTGCTACAGTAAGTTAGATCAAGCAAGACTGTCCTTTGAACAGAATAAAAGCTGTGACTACCTGGGTGAGATTGTGCTAATGACTGAATTTGACAGACACCAAAACCTAAATTCTTTTATGTTTTACGTTTTCTGAACCGATTTAAGAGTGTGATAAGTGCTGCCCAGAGCAGAAATATGACTCTTTCTAAAGTCACAGAACATCTTTATCAAAGACGTGTAGAATCTCAAACGCTAACCGGGACAAATAGTTATCAGAGAAAAACCAGTTGACGGTTAATAACCCGCAATCGAAGATGAGTTCTCAGCAAGTACCTATGACAACTAACATTTCTTGGGCACTGACTTTGAACCGAGAAGTGTTCTATAACTTTTCTTATTATCTTATTTAATCTTTATAATTACCACCCCATTAAGTAGGACCCCCATTTCACAGGTGAGGAGACTGAGGTGCAGAACGGTTAGGGCAGGTGGCTCGCAAGAGGATAAAAACCTCCTGCTGGTGAAGGGCTGGAACCCTGTGATCTGAGCGGCTCCGCCACAGCTGCCTCTGTATGATGTTACTGACGATGATGTAAATACTGGCGAGTAAGGTTAAGGACGACGGTTGCAAAGGTTTTCATAAAAGTCTCTTTTTTGTTGGTTTGCTGTCTAGATCACGGGAAAATAAGTACATACGTTTTCTTCACAGAGGTGGTAAGACCTGTCCAGTTCACTTTAAGTCTCACAGACTGCATTTGGGAACAAAGATAATTCTCGTAGGGAGGCTGAACTAGTTTCCTGTGGCGGCTGTAACAAGTACCACAAACTGGAGGGCTCCGAACAACAGAAATGTATTGTCTCCCAGTCTGGAGGCCAGAAGTCCGAGACCAAGGTGTCGGCGGGGCCGTGCCCCTCGAAGGCTCTAGAGAAGGACCCGTCCAGGCCTCTCCTAGCTTCTGGTGGTTTCCTGGCTTGTGGCAGCAGCACTCCCATCCTCACGTGGCGTTCTCCCTGGGTGTGTGTCTCTGTGTCCCAAATTTCCCCTTCTTGGGACACAGAGACATCGGTAACATAGGATCGAAGCCCACCCCAATGACTCATTTTACCTCGCTTATCTCTATAAAGACCTTATCTCCAAAAAAGGCCACATCTTGAGATCCGGGGGATTAGGATGGCAAAATATCTTTTTTAAAGGACACAACTCAACCTGTAACAGTGATGATGGCTGGGGTTTGCTCCCATCCTTAGTTACCACTTCTATCATAAAAGTATCAATCTCTTGGGAGAAAAACACATTATCCTATCTTCTGGTAAGGAAGGAAAGTAGAAGTAAGCCCTATATCCATCATATTTTCTTTCTCGAAAGTAACAAACAGTGCTCCAAGTACTTGCGGATGCAGTCCAATGCTTACTCTTCCGTTACACCCCAGACTAATGGTTATTTTGTATGTATTTTGAAAAAAGGTAAAATTTGTTTCTGGAGATTAAGGAAACATCTTCTATATGTAATACAAAGTATTGTTTTAAAAATACTTGTTGGATATACTTTTTCCAATGCACATCAAAGAAATAAAGTTTAATCAAAAGAAGGGAAGCAAAAAAACCTGAATGAGTAGTTTAGTGAAGCATCAGGGAAAAGACACTAAAGGGGGTGACAATTTATAAGAAGCCATCGCTCAGTTCCTGGCCCGCAGCGGGGATCAATAAATGCTGGCCCATCATTATAAAAATATGGATCATTCAAGATGCAAATGAAACTCATCCGTTCCTAGTTTCCTATGTTTCTGTTTAGTAGAAAATTATAGGTAAAATATCATATAATTAGAACTCAATACAAACAATATTGAGACTGCCTACTGGTTATAACAGCGAGAAAAGCATTTGTACCTCCGTTAGAGACTCTTAAAATGTAAACGGTGGACCTCGAGATAATCGTGCTAAGGGAAATAAGCCAGAGAGAAAAAGCTGAAAATCACGATATCACTTATATGTGGGATATAAACCTACAAGCAACAAATGAACAGGACAAACAAACAGACTCATGGACATGGACAATAGACTAGTGGTTACCAGACGGGAGGGGAGAGGGAAATGGGGTAAAGGGGGCCAAATATGTGGTGACAGAAAGAAATCTAACTATGGGAGGTGAACACACAGTATAAACATATATACGCCTTACATTAAAGTGTACAACTGTAACTTAATTGGATTTTGTTAACCAATTGGATTTCATCACCATAAAAAATAATTTAAAAAATAAAAAATAAAAAAGAATACTTTTTAGAAACTATAATTAATAATAATAATAAATAATAATAATAATAAAATATATCCTGAAGGAAAAAAAATGTAAACAGTCTGGTAATTTTAATGGTAGCGAAGGCACCAAAAGCAGTTCTAGTTCTTTGCAGTAAGAAATTTAAAAATTTCCTGCTTTCTGACTGAAGATATAAGATCATTATCACAATTCTCTAAACCCACGGACAGACAGCCCCCACGCAGGGTCAAATCGGGAAGCTTAAGTACGAGGCACCTTGTGATTCTACTGAGGTTCACACTGATCTCGACTCTGAAGGGACCTTAATATTGAAGATTTGGCAGCTTGGGAGCAGCAGGGAAGTCTGAGCTGTGACCAGTGGGCTGGCAACAGTATTTTAGGGACAAACCCAATCCCTAAGCTTGTGCTTGAGGAAGGAACACAGGAATTGGAGTCAGGCAGACCTTGGTTTGAATCCTAACAGCAAATCACTAGTTGTGTACCATGGAACGAGTCAATTAAACATTCACTAAATGGCATAGACACTATTAGGAAAAGCTTTGTTCTAGAACTAAAGAAAAAATGCTACATTTGTTAAAGCAGCTCCAGAAACTAAGACAACTGAGGTGCGACATCGCCGTAGCTTTTCCGGGCTTAGGACCGGATTGGAATATTATCTGTACCCAACCCAGGAGTCAGAGGACAGCTTTACAGATCAGGGGAGACAGAACTGTTA